TCTCTCTCTCTCTCTCTCTCTCTCTCTCTCTCTCACTCTCTAACACACACGCCTATACCAGCCTCTCCCCTGCCAACTACACGTGGGCTCCATTCAGGCGGGGAGAACATATAAGTGAGAATGGCTGGTTAGTGAACTGAACTATAGTAGTTACGAGTGGGCGAGTGGGCGTGGCGGTCGGGAAAGCAGAGAGAGAGAGAGAGAGAGAGAGAGAGAGAGAGAGAGAGAGAGAGAGAGAGAGACGCATTCCTGCTGGTTTCCTCGTCCAACTTTGCACTCCGCGTTTGCACCCCCCAACTGGCCGGGCCCGGCCTGGGCGGCCTGGGTCCGAGGCTGTGGCGGCCCCGGGGCTGTGAGCCGGTCGGAGCGACGAGCGTCCTTCAGTCCCAGATGTGCTGTGTTTAGCAATTATCCCGCCCGGCCCGGGACGGGCAGTGACACAGCCAAGCAATCGCCCCGGCGGGGCCTCCGCACCCGATCCGAACCCCGCCGGACCCGGAGCAGACCCGCCAAATCAGACCCTGAGTCAGACCCTCGCGCCGCGTGCTGTTCGACGCTCGGGGCGGGCGCCGCCGGAGCACAGTTTGCCGGGACGACTTGAGGGCTGCCGCAAGTTTCGAATAATTAGCTGCCGCGCGCGCGGAAGACTAGACGAGTTGATTGTCTTCGCTCCATCAGCGCGGCGGAGCAGCCCCGCCAGAGGTAAGGGACGCCGCGCCATTGTCGAGTAATGCCGAGTGAATATCTCAGATTACATCGCCGCGTCTTCCCCATTAATTTCCTCTCTCTCCTCGTCGCGCGCAGAAGCCCGTCGACGCGATCCAGGGATGCATAGGACAGGAGTTTTTGGAGGTCTAAGTAAGTACATCGAGTAAATTAACTTTTGAACAAGGAAAAGTAACGACGCGCGCGCGCGCGCGGAGAGCGAAATCAGTGACACAAAAGATCTTACTCTTCTGAGAGCGAGATATCTGACTCTCACTCAATTTGAGTCATAATTTGTGGTCTTCGCCCAATGAGAGTGAAGTTCCTCACTTCAGCTGGGCGAGGTCAGGGAAATCTTACTCCTCCACTCAAATAGGGTAAGCCTTATAGTCATCGCTCTGATTGAGCGAGGCAAAATTGTCTCACTCATTTCGAGACGACACCTCAATCAAAATTTTTCAGTGACAAATAGAGTTTTCGTCGTGAAAAGTATTCAAACTTTTCCAAAAGGAAGTCACCAAGTTACCTACTGAACTCATCTTGGAAATGTCATTTCTGACACTTTTCTATGCTTTAGAAATACGCGCAGTTTTACAACGTCTTTGAGACTGGTGCCTATAGGCAGCGCGCGCGCTCCGGTGTGTGGCGGGCCTGCCTACCCCACGGACTGCAGGCGCCTCGCCTCCTCGCATAGGCTGGATGTGAACCGACAGCGATAAGTCTTAGGATTTGCGCGAACCATGGGTAACGCTGATAAAACTTTGCGAAACCAGAAACCATTGAACACTGCGGGAAGAGACAGCAAGACTTCCCAAACAAGCAACAGCGAAGTAACTTTTTTAAGCAGCTACATGGACTGGCAGCAATGCGCCGCAGCAGGAGCCGTCCCAGCAGCCTGTACAGCTGGAGAGCGCTCTGGGGAGAAAGGGGGCAGGAAATTGGCCCGCGAACAAGGGACGGAGCCCCGTAGTGGGCGGCGGGGGTGGGGG